TTGCTATGCAGTGCAGGTTGGCCTTGAGCTCACTCACTTTATAGTCCAGGCTGGTCTTGAACTCGCAATGATCCTCCTGCCTCAGCCTCCTGAGTGCTGGGATTACAGGCCATGTACCACCTTGACTGGTTTCCTCTACTTTTTTTTAATATTTGAAAGTACAGACTTTCTGCTTTAATGTGTCTCCTCACTCTACGATCTGTGCCACTTCTGATTTTGATTTTATTTTTCTCCTGCTGTCCAAAGTATTTCCTTCTTGTCTACCTGCTAATTTTTATTAGAGGCCACAAGGTGTGACTATTTCATACTAGGCTCTGGATTTTATTGTATTTCTTTAGATATTGTTCAGGCTTTATTTATTTATTTTCATTTTATGTATTTGGTACAGAGTCTCACTATGCAGCTCGGACTCATAGTGATTCTCCTGTTTTCAGCCTCCCCAGCGCTGGGATTACAGGCGTGCACCACCATGCCCAGTCTCATTCGCCCTCTCAGAACACCGGGGATCAAACCTTGGCCACTGCGCTCTGCCTAAGAAGGCGTTTTAGTCCACTGAGCTATCTGGCTGGCCCTGAAAATCTCCATTTCCTACATATATTTTGTCTGGTTTTATACTTGTTCAAAACAGGAAAGTAGGGCCTGGGAGATGGCTCAATGGAATAAGCGCTTCCCTGGCAAACACAAGGGCCTGAGTTCAATCCCTGGTTCTGAAACAAAACAAAACAAAACAAAACAAAACAAAACAAAACAAAACAAAAAAAACAAACCCAGGAAAGTAGCTGGGCTCCATTACTCTCATGGCCTCAAGTTCAAGTTCCCATAGCCTTTTTTTTTTTTTGGCTCATTCCCCTACGGTACTGTATTTTATTGTTATGTGCTGATCACTAATTTCCTTCACTAGACCAGAAGCTCTCTTAGGCTACCAAGTAGATCTTGTTCAGGAACAAAACTTTGTAAATGAGATTCTGGAGAAGTCAAAAGAGCAAGGAACGGGCAGACCAAGGCTGAGGGAAGAGGTATGACTAATCTGATCCTCCAGGCTGGGTCTAGGGGAAGTCCTTCAACCGTGAGGCTTCTTCATCCTGGCAAATGCCCAGATTTCCCGGCAGTCAGAACTTCTGGCGGGACCACAACCACTTGCCATGAGCTTCACCAGTGAGTTGACAATTGAGCTTCACCACTGTGATAGTCCAGGCTCTGACCCACTAGCCCATTCCTGCCTGCTGAAGAGTGAAGGACTAACCCTGATCAGGCAGTGTTAATTCATTTGTAATGACTTCCACGAAAAAAACTCTATGAGAGAAAAACAGCAGTCCCTGAAGAGTACTGACTTCAGCATCAGAAAGACCCGAAATGCTCAATATGCTTCCTACTGGCTGTGTAACACTAGATGGGTCACTTGACTAATCTGATCTCTAGTTTCCTTCTGTAACTGGAACGTTGTATAATACCATCTGCCTAAGAGCAAAAAGGAAAGGCTCATTGTGACCGGTATTTTTGAATTCTAGTTTTCAAGGCTGATTAATTTCCAGCTTCTACTTGCCCTTGAGGAGAGAGGGTTTTATACACTATTTTCGGGGCCTTTGTGTTTTGACCGCGACCGGTAAGTTCGCTTAAGTTCAGCCACGGAAATTTCCACTTGTGGCATCAGGTCAGTGCTGAGAGAGGTTTGGAGTTCGAAGCATTTTAGATTTAGGATTTTCGGACTGGGGTTGCTCAACTGTAATTATAAACCATAGCCTGAGAAATGCCAAAAAAAAAAAAATCTTTTCTAATTTACTAGCCATCTCTCCTACAGCATCCACAAATGTCTCAGGCACAAAGACCAGCAATCACGTAGAGATGCTAAAATAGAAACTGGATGTAGACAGATACCTAGGAATGCAAGGGTGACAGCAACGGAGACAGCCACAGGAGTTGGAGGCAGATTTATTTACATCAACAGGCCCTGATTGGGATCACTCCCAGAATAGCAGGTCCTGCTGTCTGGTGGTCTAGGGCTTTTAGGAGATAAGCAAGCAGGAAGTACTGAGGCAAACTGGCTTGTCAGGTGGGAACTGGTTTATACGACACACAGCATGGCGACCAGCTAAGCATTGCAGCGACCAGCAGCTTCTAAGAGACAAAAGTAACAGGAACTGTAACTGCAGTATACTGGCTTGGGGGGTGGGGCGCATCTTCTGCTACAAGGTTAGGTGTCCTGGTTCATACCAGGAATCCCAGAATTCCAGGAGGCTGAGGCAAGACAAGTACAAGTGTGAGCCCAGCCTGGGCAACCAGGACACTCAAGGAGGCTCTGTCTCAAAATAATAATAAAAAATCACAGCAAGAGAAACAAGGTTAGGGATGTAGCTCAGAGCTACGGTTTGGGGCTCCATTCCCAGTACTGAAAAAAAAAAAAAAAAAAAAAAAACCAAGCAAGCCAGGGGTGGGGTTGTAGGAGGGGTGCACCTGAGCTGGTGGAAGGCAGGGGTGCAGGCATTGGGGTGCAGAAAAGGCAGGCACATGGGCAAAACCGGTGAGGGAGGGAGTGGTCTCCAAGCTCTCTCTCAAGGCTCACAGAACTGTTCTAGCTATCAGGTCTTTTTCTCAATAGGGAATTATTACAACTTTTATAACACCTATATAAAAAGTCCAAAAAGCAGGCTGGAAAGAAAGCTCACATAATATTTTAAATAGCAAAGATGAATGTCTTAAAAAACAGTTTAAAGAACAATTTTTTTTTTTTAGCTTAAAGAAGAGAAATGCAGGAAAAGCTGGACGACTCCTTGCAAGTATAGAAAAGATTATGGGGGGCGGTGAAAAAAAAGTAAAAAGTGACCGTCTGTTCTCTGTGTCTAATGATGAAGCAAGGAAGAGGAATGGGCTCAATTACAATGGAAGAGGCTCATTCTTACAGTAATGGTTATTAAAAATAGAAGGTAATTTACTCAGGGTTATCACAGAATTTATTTCCCAGAAAAGTCTTTAAAAATAGACTGGATGTCCACTTTTTCTGAGCATAGCAAAGGTCTTATATTCCGGAGGCACCTGCGTAGTGCATGAAAGAAACTCCACAGAGCCTTTGCTCGTGCTGGGTCCCCCGAGTCAGCCAAGAGGTCAAGAGGCTCTCCTAACACAGGGACACTCGCTGCTCTAGATGGGAGTCCAGACATCTGCTGTCACCCTGGAGTTTTATTCTGTTATTTACAAAAGGGGTCCTTTCGGGGCTGGTGAGATAGCTCAGCAGACTAGAGCACCTGCTTAGGCTAGCTTAGGCAAGCTTAGGCAAGCGCACGAAGCACAGTTTGATCCCTGGCACCACATGCTGCGCCAGCCCTGCTCTCAGGGCAGGCTGAGCAGGCAATAGTCTGGGCAGGCATAGTGTCAAACACCTGTAATCCCAGCACTGTGGAGGCTGAAAGCAGGAGGATCACCATGAGTCCGAGCTCCATACAGAGACCCTGCAACAACCAAATACATTAAAATAAAAAAAGAGGTCCTTTCCAGCAGGGGCCATGCAGAGTCCTAGGGGTGGGTTCCCTGGAGTAGGTAAACAAGGAGGAAGGAGGAAAGACGTGAATTGGCTTAGCCTGGGGATGTGTGATGGGCTGGGGGAGGGTTTATAACAATACTGAAAAGTGCTTCTCTATAATGATATAACTAGAATACTTGACTAAGATGGGTAAGAACAACTGAATTCCCAAGCTGCCTATATAAAGCCAACTCTTCTGAGCACAAAGCTAGCATGGCTTGATGCCCATTTCATTCTTGCTCCAGACAAAAACAAACACGTAAGACACTTTGTTCTTATAGTCCAGATGGGCAGCTGAGGAGCTCCCTTCCTCTCGCCTGGCCAGGGTGCCGAGGTGCTCAGAGGGCAGGACGTGGGCAGCCTGACTGGACTTCCTAATTTTCATGATTCCATCATGCTGGGCTGTTCTCCAACATGAAGCCAAATCTCTACTGACCAATCTGCCCTCTGGATTCAAGGCGAGAACTTCCCAAGGTGACCGGTGGGACAGTAAACACATTGGAAGGTTACAAAATAAGAACGGGCAGCCCTGCAAGGCTCTGTTCTTCAGATGCTGCCACAACTAAGCCTCCAGAAGGAATGTACAGGAGGAGCAGCTGATAACGTGACGCGTTCTGATAGGAAACAAACGCTTCCTGCGTTTGCAGTAGCTACAAAAGCTTTAGGTTAAACCACCTCCTACCAATCTCTGTAACAGAACCCTTACAAAATCCTAAAGCCGCCCTGCAACAGGGGTCCTGTGCTGCCATATGTCCTTCACGCAGAGCTGCTATGACACACTCCTCTTCACTTAAACCGACTGCCAAAACCACGGTTCTCGACGCGGGAGCTGGCATGCCTCAGGTGTGCCGTGGGGAGAAAGCTGAAAATCTGTAGGTTCTACAGAAATTCTACACAGGAGCAGGAATCAGATGGACGTGGTATCAAAGGGCCATGTTTTGAAGCGGCGTTTGTACAGCAAGGCTACAAATGTATATAGACACCTACAAGTGTTCTGTTCACATTTTACACAAGACTAAGAGCATGTTCATCCAGTGAATATTGCTCTTAGTTGTGACTGGAGTTCAGGAAAACACCGGGGCTGCCAAAACCACCCTTGAGGAGCAGCGTCTCTCAACCCCAGTCTGGTGACGGGCGGGCAGGAAGGAGCAGTGTACTCTTTGGCCTTGGGTCAAGCTTTTTTCTGAGCCGAACTAACTAGTCCTCATCAGCAAACAAGCAACTGTAGCATCACCTAGCCGCATCCCAGCTATCCCAGATGGTAACTTAATAGCCTGCAAAAATTAATACCACACCTCTAAGCACATTATTCACCCAGAGGATACTTTAGGCAATGAAAGAGTCTGGTTCATTGTACCCCACACAATTGCTAAATCATATACAATCACAGAAATGAAGCCCGGCATACGGTAGGGTCTCGTCTCTACTGAGATTCATTGTCGTAAAATTGCTGTTCAAAACTCTCATAGAAATTGGTGAGGCATACCTTTCTTTTCTGGAAGAAACATCACAACAAGACAAGCCAGGCCTCCCAGACACAGAAATGCTGCTAAGGTCCGCTTCCGACCAAACCTAAGGGATACAAACAAATTACACATGTCTCGTAAGGATCGTATAAATTAATCTGCTCCTTCTCCCCAACCTTCTTGTTTAAATGTCCTCAGTTTCATTAAAAGGTGAAACTCACTCAGTGAAAGGATTAAGTGACATACTAAAAAGGGGATATGCCTCTTTCATTTCTAAAGAGGTTCACTATGTTCCTGTCACCGTCTTAAATGCTTTCCACCTATTATCTTATTTAATCCTAACCATAAAGTCATGGGCATGCTTTGTTACATCATCTGTTTTCCAGAAAATGAAACTGAAAAGGAGAACAGAGTCCTCGAGCTCCTTTCACTTTCTGATTGTCTCAAATGTACTGAGTTAAAACTTTTAAACACTTAAAAAACCTCCCTTTTTCTTAAAAATACAAGTGGAAAAATATGTCACACAGTGGGTTAAAATGAAGCAAAATGTATTTCACACTAAAAAGTAGTTTTAAAATAAGAGCTCTATACTTGAAAGAAATATATTAACCTTAGTAAGTGTTGCTTGCTAGGGGCCAGCTACATGCCGTGTATCCTGCTAGGAACTTCAGCATTACCTGTAATTTTGATATCAATTTTGGCAGGGGAATTTTGTAATCCCTGCCATGAGGATAGTTGTGACACAAGTCTAAGGACAGAACTTGGCAAAATCATAAAACTAACTTGGGGCTAAACCCAGCCTTGAACTCAGGTCGTCTGGCTCGAAAGACAGCATCCGTAAGATTTTAATCATGGCTTAGAGTGGAAGTTGCTGGGAGACAGGAAAATGCCTGAGTCTTCTTTTCCAGGTTATTTTGCTTAATTTAAAGCCAATATGGAATGACTTTCAAATGACACAGACGGTGCTAGGCGTTAGGGATGTGTGACACAGGGTACTCTCCGCACACCGTCCTTCCAGCACTGGCAGTGGCGGCAGAGGCGAGCACGGGAGGCTACTGCAGCAAGGAGGGGCAGGTGGCACAGCCGGGGACGCTGGGAAAGACTCCTGAGCAGGGTCTGACCTGGGTCCTGGGCCTTGATGGCGGTAAGCCACAGTCAGCAGAGCAGGCAGCAGGGGCATCGGGAGTGCTCTCTGAGATTAAAGACCCCAAGGGGACAGGGCTCACACCTGCCACTCACAACGGCCTCAGCTAGAACATCATGTAGACAGCATGGAGTGCAGGGCTGAAGGAAGCCTGTTCTGGGCTAGAATAATCTCTGAAAAATGAGAAACGGAACCAACCCAAGCAATCCCAAATTTGTACAGAACAGGCTTTTTAGTTGCGTTGGTCAAGGATTGAACAATGGAAATGATCTTTAAAAAATAGCCAAAAAGTTTCTCTGTAAAATAATTTTGAAAAGGTTTTATTTCAAATTATGCCACTGACTGTGATTGGCAAAAGCGGGATGTTTTCCTCCCCTCAACAAAATGGGTCTTAGGAATTAAGAAAAGTCTTTCTAGTCTCCTCAGTTGTCATCCTGCTTAGAGGAACTTCATATGTATAATATGTTATTATTATTATTTTGTATTTAGTACAGCGTCTACAGGGTTTACAGGGTCTTACTACACAGATCAGACTTGTAGTAATTCTCCTGTTTTCAGCCACCCAAAGTGCTGGGATTACAGGCACAAGCCACCAGGCCCAGTCTCAATCGCTGCCTCAGTGCGCCCCAGGGGTGTTGCTGGCACAGCACACCGGGGATCAAACCCAAGTCCCTGTATCTGCCTAAGCAAGTGCAGGGCCGGGGAGATGGCTCAGTAGAATAAGCACTTCTCTGGCAAGTGCAAGGGCCTGAGTTCAACCCCCGGTTCCACAAAAAACAAACAAAAACAAAAACA